GGGGGGGGCAGGGGTTTATCGTGCGCGGCGGCAAATATTAGCGGAATGCATGAAAATAGATCGTGCGTCAGGGTGTCGGCCGTGCGCACGTTTTCGCACACGCGGCGAAAACTAAATTAACATCCAGATGTACTGACTTTCATTATTCCCGAAGCTTTTTCGTCGTTTTCCTGTGGCCGTCTGGCAACGTCTTAGCGCAGACGAAGAATTTGCGTAATTCGTACGAATGCGGATTGTGTGAATGAGACGTAATTTCGATGCGGTAACGCATCGACTTAACGCTTTGGTAGCCGTGCCGTTTCGACAGATCTGAATTTTGTGATGCTGTCCGTTGCACAATGGCGTGGTTACATAGTGTATACAGTCACACGGCGTACAAGTATTTTCCTCGAAGTATAAATTGAGTTCATCAAAATTGGCGTAGCTTGGTTGCGGTTGGTTAAAGAAGTTATAATGAAAATCTATATAATATAGGAATTGATTGCACGAGATTATGCGCTATACAATTTCACATACGTATATATGATCGTTTATTTAGACTGACAAAAAATGTACATGCCGTATATGTATGAGATGGTCGAATGGCACTGAATTACGTGTTTTGGTTTGTGCTTGATGACTTGGCTTTTTTCTTTTTTTCTGAATATATACCTTAGCATCGTAAGGAAACGATAAGACCACGTTTTACAGTCGAGTAACGCTGTTATCGGCGCGGCTGAGATAAGAAGATAACGGCGACGGCGCTGTCTTTCTTGGTCAGTTCCACTTCTCAAATTCGAGGAGCGTGTCACGCGCGCGCGCGCTCCCAGTGCGAACGAGTTTTACAGTTACGCCTGTCGTGTAACAGCGACAGTGTGCGGAATCGCGGAAATACAGCGTGCGGACGTGATATCGTAGATTTTCGCTGCAACAGGTGGTTGACGTTTACCTGGGCTGCGCGCCCCTTGCGGCCCCTCTCTCCCTTTCCCCCCGCGCGGAGATATCGTTCCGATGACAGTGATTCAGCAGTGATTAATCGCGACGGTGGTTTGTTTGTTGCCTCAGTGCGACGAGTCATTTTAAAACGTTTGCCCGCCGATATTAGTTTCGCACGGCGGAACGCGTATACGCGACTAGGAGGCGAGAGAGTCTCTTGCGGGGCATTCCGGTGCGAGGCGCGTTTCACACGGAGTAAGGATGTCGTTTATCGGGTTGGACAGAAAGAAGAGGAGATCGATTGGATGCAAATGCATTCCACTGACCAAAATGACCAGCTCTAGATATCTTTGGACTTGCATGGTGGCACCGTGCGCGGTACGTTTTCGCCGAGAGTGCAAAACAGTTTCGGCTCTGCAATTGACTCGGCATTGGAGCCTTTATAGCGTATAAAGTCGAGAGTTACTCGCGGCCTCCGCGGTTTTACTCGCGATTCAAGAGACATGACTCGCGGGTTGCATGCGCTGCGCATTCGAAGTAGGTCACTAATACGCCCGTTAGAAGTTTGATCGAGTAGCCTTGGACGTTTCCACGGGCGAAGCAATTGTACCGCCAGGCGGATTGACAACTTAACCGATGTCCATTCATCACAATGGCTGGATGCCGTTTCGATGCCCGGCATTCGACGCGAGACCGCGGGAGACCGATACTTTCTCCTGCGCGTGTTGTGTTTGCCTAGCGTCTACATATCCGTATCTCATGAGTAGGCCACAGCGGCGTACGCCAGACGATTTCCGGTTAAAGAGATGTATTCCACGATGTGTTTCCCTCCGGCGATACCCTCGTCGATATTCACGGTGCAATTTCCGGCCGGTGTTATCTTAACTCTGAATGCGAGAGATCATATTGCGATCGTTATTATTATTATTATTATTATGAAGATTAACGCGGATTCGCGCGTAATACCGAAAGATTATATACGTTCACGATGCACGGAAACGGGCACAATGTCGATTATTAATTGATACGAATCTCGATACAAGGATGAAGAAAAAATTATTAAATACAGATATAGCGCTTCGCTCCTGTCTCGTATATTATATAAAAGGAAATTACTCGAGAGCACAAAAGGAAGAATTCTCGTTTTAATTAGGAAGAGAGAGAGAGAGAGAGTTTAATTAGAGAGTGATTAATCGTCCGCCGAACTGCCCGTCCTTATTGCGCATACCTTCGCCCGAGCCTCGATCGCTGCTGCTGTATCGGCCGTCAATAATCAGAATCGAACTTTGTATCTGTTTCAGGGCGATTACATCAGGTACCCGGCTCTTTACGAACTGTCGAGCAAGTATGGAGTGGCTGGCAGTGACCAGGTGCCCTTGCCGGCTCGTCTCGACGTGCTGCGAGAGCACATACGCCGAGAAATACGCAAGGTATGTCGAGTTTCGCTTATCCCTCGGCTGCAACTTCTGCGAACTTCTGCAGCTCTTCCTTTCTTCGTCTGTGCACATACGGTAGCACGGTCAGCACTCTGCGTCCCCTTCTGTTAACTTCCTCCGCATCGCTCCCTTTGCTCCCTCCCCTGCAGCAAGAATCAGTCCAACGCGTCTCTTTTATTTCAATGCGCAGAAATTAGTCCCTCCTTACTACCTTAACGTTCTCCGCTCGCCTCTTTTTGTCTCGAGTAATAAATGTCCTGTGCGATAGACGCGGGGATATCTATTGCAACAGTGGAAGGATATTAAATGCATCCTCATATGGGGCTAATTTAAACCGATTCCATAATCTTGGCGGAGATTTGCAATTGCAGCCTCGATACCCGAAGGGATTGATTACGGGAGTATTTGCAGATCGTGCGTGATTATGTTTTTTTCGCGTGTAGGTACCTACATCTGCCTTAATTAATATCCGACGTACGTCTCGGTAATAAGCGATCGATGATCTATGATTTCCGGATGCGCCCGACGTCGCGTTCTAAATCATGCTGCGAAATAGAAACTTGAGGGTGGTCCGAATGTTTCTGCAACTCGCGTAGAAACGAGTTTTGCTGTATGGCTGCGCGTCTCTTTCTCTCTCTCTCCTCCTCCCTCTCCTTTTTCTTTTATCTTCCTCTTGTTTTATCTCTCGGTACTTACTAGGCACCTTTACAACACGCTCGTCTACCGTTGTCTGACTGCTGGCCTACCGCTAATAGATGCACTGCGAAACAGAGCCGCATGTAATAGTATATAATGCGATAGGTTTCTTAACGCGGCACATTTTCATAAACGCTTGTTACCAGAGCATTTTCTGCAAACGGTGAGTCAATTGCAACGCCGCAGAATGGATGCACGTGTATATAGCATCTCGAAAACTAAAATCATTTATTTCTAAGGAATCATTATTCCTTAATTCTTCATTGAATAAGTACCTTTTGAACGATTATTTTTATCTGGCTTAATATTGGTAATAAAGAAAAAAATTTATTTACTTCAATTTACGTGCCAAGAAAGGACTTAATTTATAATTATTTGACTAGCAAAAATCAAAAACACTTATGTCATCGTACATACAATATTTCCCATTATTTGTATGTAATACAATCTTTATAATATTAACGTAAAATTGGACCGATTGTTCTTTATGTATACCAATGCTCTAGATTGAAAAATGAAAATCATGTTGACTGACTCACTGCAAAGATTCGCGGTGATTATGCATTAACGCTCACTAATAGAATACTAAAGGATATATTGAAAGGTATCATTGAGCACGTGCGTGATTTTACGTCTCATTTGCCGTATGGAGGAGCGGCACGATCGAGCAATAGACGTGTTTTAAGCGTGCGGCTGGCCGAGGCTATAATAAATGTATGCGTTTAAATTCCACGGTACAAAACACGCCGTTTTTTAAATATTTTTTTACGTAAATGGCGCTGGCGATGACCGTTCCTGTGCGCGATTGTGAATTTGAATGTTTTTTCGTTCGCAGGAGCTGAAGATAAAGGCCGGAGCGGAGAAGCTGAGGGAGGTCGCGACCGATCGCAAGTCGCTCTCGGATGTCGCGACTATCGTGAAGAAAGCGAACAGCAAGCTGAACGAGCTCCACGCGGAGCTGCAGCAGCTCGAGAGTCAAATTATACTGACGCAGGGCCAACCTCAATCGCCGCAGCAGAATCACTCCAACGGTCAAGGTTGGTAAAGCGAAGCCGCGGCGCTGTGCGATACCATCTTCGTGTTCGCCTTATAATTCCCCCGCGTAGCATTGACCGAGCGAGAATAAAGCGGTCCGCTATACGCGCTCCTAAACGGGTTTTATGTAACCAACGTCGCGCGCGTCGCGTATCGCAATATCGGGACGTAAGCACTATAAAGATCTTCGATATCGGGACACTCGTGGAAAACAGGTTAATATAAGCGGAGGAGAAATCGGCGTTTCTTGCATCCCGTCGCCTGATAGTTTAATAAACGTTATTACATGAGTCATCGTAGAAGATAAGCGATTACAAGCAATTAATGCGCGCGGGATATTATTAACCGAAGTGCCGATAAGCATCGAGTATACCGATCGTTCGAGGATCTTCTTTTCTCCACCAAGTTTCACGAGAGAAACGTTTCCCGTTAAATTTCACGTTTATTTGCGCACGGGCGATTATTGCCCCGCTTATTCATTGGTTTTACGTATCGATGCATTGCGATAATAGTTGATGTTCCGGCATGCCAGCTCCCTACCGCGTTAACGACCGTTCCGTATCGTTAACGAGGGGGCACTTAATAACTCCACCCGCTAACGAGGCGTCGAGACGACGTCTTCGGGTTTTATAAAGCTCGCCCGAACATGCCTGAGCTAGCTGCTAGCCTTACGTCGCCATTAGCGCTGACAAATCGAGCGTATCTCTTTAACGCAGTGACGTTTCTGACTCATCGATCGATATACATATCACCGCGCATTAGATATGTATCCGAACTAAACGTTCAAGTTAAAAAGACAACGGTCAACAAGATAAATATAACGAGGGGGGATGTATCAATATTGAATCTAAATATCTAACAAGTTGAAAAAACCGGCACGATCGATGCGATAAACACCGGCGAGAGGTATATTTATCCTTTTCGTTGCTATGATCGATTGACTGGCAACGGAAAACAATACGTTCCAAAATAACGTGCTATTGATGTCGTTAACGCTGTCGTTCTTCCGTGACGTTGAGTCTATGTGCTAGTTGCACAGCTAGCCGTGTATGATTCGATCTAGCTTCTATACATGCGATGTTTAAAATGGCATTCAATTCTACGAGTTATCGTCAGTTTCGACGAGACGACAACTGGAGGGTAAACGACGATTATCGTCTGCGTGTCGAGATTGCTCTCCTTCGTTCAAAATCTCTCTCCGTTTACGCTGCGGGACATAAATTAGGCATGATTAACAGAATTTTTTTTAATCAGAGGTCGTGGCTCTTTCTCGGTATTGATAGTATCACATCCCGCGAGCCTGCCAAATTGATGATAACTGGAATTGAATCGTCGCATTGTTTTCTTTAGCGCCGTTGCGTTTGGCTTAAACGCTCGAATTAACATCATCTGAGTATTCTTAGACGTAGGAATTGGTTCGAAGGAGAAAAATAGTTCGTTCATACTTGATGTGGCGTCGAGTTCTTATGGCGGAGTTTTATACGATCGTGTAACGCAATTAATAGGCTAATCTAGTACGTTACTCCCAGGCAAACATCGTTTGACTCTTAAAGAGCGTTTTTTTTTTCGCTGTGTTACGAGTGTGAGGCCACTTTGTTATGCTCTGCTTGATACATTGTACAGAGGAACTGCAGTCTTACGCTCGTTCTGAATTGACGATAAGTGGTAACGGCTATTTATACCTTGGACCCCGAGACGTCCTCTATCCTCCACTCCAGTTAAGTCAGTCATCATCATACTCGGTCTCGAGTCTAGCAACCTGCCTCGGGGATGCTTCATTCAGTTTCCCCCGGTATCGAAGGGGACACGCCATTCACTGTGCAATCCTGAAACCTAGACGCAGCGTTTTCTCCTGCAGTTACTATCATTGACTAAGAGTTCAGCAATTCCGAGAAATGGCGAAGGAATGGCCGTTTAAATTTGTCAAGGAATTAGATTCTTCTTACCGTTCATCGCATTACTGACTACGGAACATAATGACTCTCAAGTTTACTCAAAAATGATTCGATCGATTCAGCGCGTGGCGGTATACAGTTTCGGGATCAAGGAGAAAGTCGATCCACGCTCTTCTCTCTTTCTTGGTGGTTCACCGAGGATGGCGAGCGGTGCGAGGCAGACACCAACGACGACGACGACGACGACGACGACGCTCGTTCACTTTCCAGCTCTGCCGAGACACGCGCTCTCCTGCTGCGTGCAACGGCGAAAACGCGCATGTACAAACATACACTTACAGACGCGTGTACGATGCGAGACGATCGAGAGCGCATTTACGAGAGAGGCGATCGGGATCGAGCGATCGCGCGGAGTACCGTTACACGTGCGTACATAGGTCCCGAAGCTCTCCCAGCCCCCTTCGCCTTCCCCCTCCGCTCTCCCCGACTACCTCGCGCTCCTCTCTGTGTATCGAGATCGCGTTACGGCCAAACCGAACCCACGCTTTCGCATTCCATCGTCGGCGCTCTCGGGGGAAGCCCTCTCCAATCCTCCTTCCTTCGCCTGTCTGCCTGCCTGACCGGCCGGCCGATCTTTGTGGACTACCTGTCCGGATCCTTCCCCCGGGCTCGATTTAAGATCCCGCGCGACAGCCGAAAAATCGCGTCCGCGCGCGCGCGCGTACCAGAGGCATAAAACTCTGCGAAATTTCGTGAAGAAACGATCAAAGCGGAGATTATTTCGAAAGGCTTGTAAGCATGTATACTTAATTATTATATAGCGGAGTTGGCGAAACGCTAAGAAATGAAAGTACGTATTATAAAAACGTGAACCTATTTTACAATCACGCTGGTGAGCAATTGGCATGGGCCGCTCTAATTATCGGTTATCTTCCCGATGGGGAAATCCCCATGGATGAATCACGATATGCTTGGTGTTCGGTCGCGGAAATTCCGCTAGATTTTATGAGGCGAGTCGATTATAGAGCTTATTGACCGCAGGATACCCACGTATGAATTTATGAAGTGCACTTTATCGAACGTTCGTAACACAGTAACGGTATAGGGGCCGGGCATTTACGAGTTAATAAATTTTAAGTGGCCCCGCATGAGTTCGTAACTAAATAAGTCACTCAGGTTGCCGTTCGAAGCGCCGGAAATATCTACCGCCGCAAGATATATCATGCAACGCTAAAATTTTTATCTTCACGGCTGAAATATTTGTGGTTCTCGGGAGGAGAAATAGTTGAATTATTCATCAGTGACGTAACAATAACGCAAGACTCGCTGGAACATGTTTAATTTGTATAAGAACGTTACACACACACACAAAATATACTCGTGCCGTTAAAATCGGACGTTCCGTATATAGCTACCTAATATAGTTCCGTAACACAAGACCTGCCCCTCCGGACGCACGTAATACACCGTACTGCACAGTATAGCGCGCTACGCTTCCGTATAACTGGAGCAGCGTATGTATCGAGTTTGTTATCAGATCTCATCAGCGCTCGTAAAACTTCTTAATCGAGCCGAGAGGCGAGCGCTCCCTTTTCACCATATACGACTCTCTCAGCACACCTTTTACGATCTTCATTACATGCAGACGTCGCATTACACGATCTTGATATTTGTTTTCGTCGACGTGCGAAGATCTGCCTGCGATATGTTACATTTAATTATTTCATATCGGAGATATATTGACCTTAGGAAGTCGCGATATTGCATTGAGACCTAAAAACATTTCAGAATTTCATTTTCTCTGACTTACGTAACGTACGTAATGATTCCGAGAGATGTTATCGCTGTAAATCTGGCGATATATCTATACTTACGGGAACTGGTGCTCGAGATTATGAGCGAGTCGATAAACCTCGTGCAAGATACAAACATCTTGCAACTCGTCCCATCCGCCGTATAATATATCGTTGCTGTCTAACGCGAACTTTCCTCTCGTCCGCGCTCGCGTGCGATATACGCTCGCCGTGGACGTCGTGGCAATTGACGCCTACGATCATTCAATGATTGCGAATAACCGATAGGTTCCGGTAGTCCCGTGTCAAGGGTATGAAGCGCTCACGCCGAGCGCGGAGTCTTGTTCTCGCAAATAATTATCTAATTCATCTCTGTACAGTCGCGCAGGAAATTGTGCGTCGCGACCGTAACGTGTATGTAACGCCGTTGCAGCGCATTTACTACTTACTCGAACTCGATTCTAAGTGATTTTTGCTTTGACATAACTGCCGCTACATTATTGCTTTTTTAACGTTGCACTTTCTATATCGGACCGGTCCCCGCGATTTTCTCGATCGGCGCAACCAACCGGTGGCCCTATGCTAATAACTTAACTGCTACTTTGCCGAACGCCCGGGGGTTACTCGCCGTAGGTTTTTCGAGCCGTATGCTAATTTCTCGGTACGCTTTTGCCGTTTATGCTAATCGACGCCGCGGGCGTGTTTATGGCAAAGTTTGTCTGATACGCGATAAAAAATTGCACTGCCTGCACCAAAGGTTACCTGGCCATTGAAGTATAGTTTTCTTTTTAAGACATTACAAGGTGTTAAATCCTGCATTCTGCTATATTGTATACACTACCTTGAAACATAATTGCTATCGAGGAGTATGTACAACCCGATTGTTATTTAAAAAAGAAAAAGAAGACTATTCGTCAATTTTTAATGAATGTCGTATTTACTGCAACTTAAATTAAGAAACATTATGTCACTTTATGATCTTCGAAAAGTTAGCGTCTCGTCATGTAACAAACCTATTTTCGCAATTTTAAATATAATTGATAGAATTCTGATTCCTCCTCAAGGAATTCTACAGTTTGCCATATATTGGCAAGAAGTTCTAATAAATTAAATGAAAAAAAAGTAAAATCCTCAGATATGAAATATCAATATCACGGTTTTATTAGACAGAAATTGATAACAATTATTTTTATTTCAATTGAGACTGAGTTAGAGCTGTAATACCCTTTAATAAATTAAGCTCTCAAGGCGTTATCTGGAACTCTCGAGAGACTGCTAGATATGTTCGAGAAAAATATTTTAGCCATGGGAACTTCGCAGAGATCGCGTTGCGTCCACTTGACGTAAGCGTTTGTTACATGACGAGATGCCTAGGAACGCATTATATATATGCATATGCATGCGTCTCGATGTCGATGCTGAGTTAGATGTATAAATAAAGCGCCTCGCACTCTCGCCTCTCGCGGAGTTACGGTAATTATTTTAATCAATGCCGTAATAAGGATGCTGCCAACAACCATCGCACACGAACAATTGCTGCTTACATGCATTAACGAACTGCACAAGAGCCCTCCCTTCCCGCGTGCGCTCATGCTTTATGAACGTATCGCTAACTCACGCTCGCGTAGATGGAACAGCTTTGACGCGAGCAGAGTTATGAATGGAATGGAGAGACGACAAGACCGGCACGCATCGCGCGATAGCATTAATGCATACTGCGGTATTACGTGTATTACCACCGAGGAATTACCGTGTATAACTTCTGTATACCTTCTTGATAGATTATTACAAATTTTTACTGCGGATCTGCGGTTTTTCGTATTAAGATTTAAAAAATATATATGTGCAAAGTTTACATGCCTTCCGATATATTTTCCGAGATTCGTACGTGGGATATTAAATGTCGTTTCATCTAAGCGCGCTAAGATCAACGGAGCACCTGGTCGCATATCGCCTCGATACGTTTTGCATAACCATCACGCGCGGTCGCCGCGTTGTCCTTTTCTCCTTTCGCTGCGAGCAAAAGGCAGAGAGCAATTATCCGCTCCTCGAGAGCGCACGCACTCTCCCTACCGAAAGGGTTGCGTGCGCCGCGCCCGCCCGGCGAGTTCATTGAACCGACGAGAGTGGCTGCGAATAGGCTGCAGCCACTTTGCGCGCTCTACACAACCACCCTTCCATTTTTTTTCTTCTTTCTTTTTTGCCTTCTAAACGCTCACGTACGTATCGATAGCCTCTCGCTTTCTCTTTCTCTCTCGGTTTGCTTCACGGCGAGAAAGGACGCCGAAAAAGGGGAAGAAGGCGGTTCGCGAGAGAGGAACGAGGACGGGCGGATGGGCGCTCAGGAAGGGTGGGTAGGTGGGTGCAGTTGGCGGTATCAAAAACAAGGAAAGCCTTTGTCGCCGGGGTCTCCGCACGCGGCGGCGGGCAAGGGCAGAAGCGCGGAATATAATGGGGCACGTGTTCGGCCGAGCTGCGCTAATGACACGGTTTCGCGGAGCTCTCGATGCCGCATTGTCCACGCAAACTCTTTTATATACCGCCTCCGCCGTCGTTTTCGCCGCATTGTAAAGCCTGGTATACGTGTTTGCATTCGCGCGCGGCCTCGACTCCCCGTTTCTCTCGGTTTTCTCGTTATATCTGCCCGTTACACGCGCGATCCCCGGGAATAATAGCGATTGTCCGAGAGAGGTCTGTCGACGGTGTCGTCGGCAATCGATAAGATCTATACTTTATGCAGAGAATTGATTAAATTCTTTTGCGATTGGCGATTAAAATTAACACTTTGCCGATTAGATTCTTTCTCCCGACAAGCTCCGTGAAAAAGAAAAGTATTCGCTATATTAAAATGTAAAGCGCGCCGAAATAGTACCCAACGCGTATCGGAAATAATGTTCTCCCGCGCAACCGGTTTCACTTCTACCTAATTCAACACATATTTGCAGAACTTTCTGGGATATATGTATATACAGAATCCTTACGTTCCGTGCTGAAGCAGCATAAATAACATTGTAAATACTATAGATACTTAGCGTTTTCGTGCCGAGCGTTTAGGCATTCATAGCGGTTAGGCATTCCTGAATTCTAAGTCAATGATTAGCATACATTTTTGATGATATATATATATATATATATATATATATATAGCGTATTTGAAGTATCGCGTGAAAAATCACGCATCTGCTCGGTCCCTCGCATCGCCTTATTCGGACACGTCAGGCATGCTCGTGTGCATAGACGGTGTGCAAAGCGTGTTCGTCCGCGTTCGCCCATTCGCGTCGAACGGGCACTACGCGTCGTTTATCGCGACGTGCGTTCGTACGTACGCACGCACGTAATGCGCGTGTATGTGCGCTGTGTGTACGCGCGCGCGCGCACAGGGAAATCGCGGAACCGTGGAACCGTGCACGTGTTTACGGTAGCTTCCCGCGCGCCCAGGCACGGGTGCATAATGGACATATTTCGATGGAGGAAAGGATGCCCCACATCGCAGCATTAACGAGCTAAATTCGTGCGCCGGTTGCATACGCGTCGCATATACGGCGTGTGGCCGAACAATGCGCGACCGACGTGTGAATCGTCTCTTCGAAAATCGCATGGTTGGCCTCGATAGCGATGTACTATATTTAAAGAATGAACTATTCGGAGAATTTTTTGACATTTAAAAAAAAATAAAACAACTGAAATTAATTTACATTTATTTAAATTAATTTCCAAGAGGTTATACATTCAAACATATGTTTAAATGGTTTGCATTACATAAGCAATTATTTATATGTATCCTTGAGGAAATTCGCTGCAATTACGAGACGTTCGAGCGTGTCTGCGTTCGTTAAAATATATACGAAATACAACAAAGAATAACACGATATGATTACGTAAGGTACATTGATTAATGTAATTGTTGAAAGTTCCGGTGGGGGCCACGGAAATAACGCTCGTAATTATGACTTGCGTTTCCCACACCGTTCCGGTACGAATTAACATGCACGCGGTATTTTATTTTCGTATACGCATCGTATAATATTATTACATTGCATTATTGTATTATTTCGTATAAATTGTGTGTCGCAAATCCATTCGCGTATACGTATAAGCGATTCCGCCGCGCTGTTTTTGCGAGAGCATCAGCGTCTGACGCAATTGCCAGATAATCCCCGTTGTATCTCGAAGACATTTATGATAGACAGGCAGAGAATGAACGCGGTGAAAAGGAAGCGATGGGAAATTCATAACGGCGCGTTCCTGAAACAAAGCGGGACATCACTTTTTTTCCACACTCCCCCGTATACTTGGCTTGAATACGTGGGAGTCTGGGCGTTTTCAGCATGTCAGCACTGATGGAAAGTAGGATCCAAGCGCGCTGTACGATCTCGCTTGTCAAATCGCGGAGATTGCCAGGCATAAAAAAACGCTCACGTGTAAGGCGGCGGTTATTGCTTATGTTAACGTGGAAAATCCGGACGTGACGTGAAGAAAGATACCTGCGGCTAAAGAAAGCGGACGCCCTCTATATATATATATATATATATATTCTAAACGTATATATATATTTTTTTCTAAACATATATATTTTTTATGTATACGTTATTATATACGTTATTATATACGTTTATGTATTTTTTTTAACGGTGCACTTAATATGTTCTTGTTATATCGTACAGTGCTCCGTTTCATCGAAAGATATCTGGTTTGCCGTTTAACATCGGTATCGCTGATACATTATTAGGTCATATCGAATTCTTTCATTTCGTGAACGTCTATTTTTATTTCAGACACGCCTCTATCACCGATGGGGTCTTCGTCGCCGAGTCAGGAAGGTCTATTCACGGATCTTCGGCTTCTGTCCTTGGAGAAGCAGCTCAATATCGAACTGAAGGTAGAATCCGCCTCCTGAAGAGATACTATTGAATTACGTACATTTTAGAATCACAAGCAGACAATCGCGATATTCGCGGAACACGGATGACATCGCGTGATATCAAATTGCCATGTTATCAAGATTTTTAACAGTTGTCGTGATATCGGAGAATATTGATAACGAAATAACAAATGTTCCCTTCAGTAATTAATAATTATACATCAGTACTCTCCTCTTGATAAATATATATTTAGAATATAATTCTCGCGAAGTCGTTGTGTACAACTCTTTCCAAGTGATTACGCAGAACTTCGGTAGTTCTCTTTCACTTTTCTTGTATCAGTCTCGCGGTGAGTCAGCGCAGTGAGTCGCTCGCAATTTTTCTCCTACTAAAAATAATCTCTCGTTACATCACGCGGGGATTTAAAATAATTAGACTAACGCGTCTGGTCTCTTTGCAGTTATTACTTGTCAATACAGAAGCATTAATTGTCTATAATTTATACCTTCTATAATTTATACCTTCTCTATCTTTTTTCTTCTTGACAAAAATAGTCGATTTTTATGCATTCTGAATGTATCAAATTGAGGCGAACATTTTCAATGCTGGTTTTAATGCTGTACAACAGAATCTTAATAGAATGATAATACATGCCTACTTAAAATATCATTCGTTTTATGTTCACGGTAGGTCAAGCAAGGTGCTGAAAACATGATACAGAGTTTAACGAGCGGCCATCGCGACAAGAAACTGCTACAGGAGGCTCAACAAATGCTAGACGATTCCCGCGCCAAAATCGAGTTCCTACGTATGCGGATTATGAAGGTGCGCCAGGCACGGCAGCAGCAACAGCGAGGCGATGCGCCACCACCAAATGGTGAAACAGCTAGCAACAAAGGTACATAACATCGGTCGCTGTTAATTAACAATTTGTGTAGATATATACAAAGCGATCGAACCCGAGAAAAAGAAGACGATTGAAAGAACGTTCTAAAATCTAAAACATAACTTAAAATATTTTTCTACAAGTGAAATAATCGATTTTTCAATATTGATTGTAACAAACTTAAGGGCAAATTGTACTAGTATCAATTTGCGTGCGGATCGCGCGGATCTGCGGCTAAAAATTCTGCGTTTATTTAAATACTGATACACGCTATCAGAAGTTCTGTCGAACATATGTACATGCATATCGTCAGCTTTATCGTTCTAATTGTTTGAACGACGTTTGATAGTTAAGCTGTATACATTTCATTGTTAACGTGAGGTTTACGGAATGAAGACAGTAAGCTGACATTTACTGCGGTAATGAAACTGTCTCAGAACACGGTGTACATTCGTATCTCACCCTGCGGGAATTTGTGCCGTGTATTCAGTATAAAAGTACAATGTTGCGTAGTATGTTCGTTATTATTGTAGTAAATGGCATTTCTTGGAAGGAAGCGCTTTGTTCGTCGAAGGATATATTCGTTACGCGTGTAATGGTTTACTTTTTTCCCCCGCGTACAAAGCGTGGGTGGACGTTACGTAAGAAGATAATCATGCGCCGTTGATAAATGAAAGCTTTGTATGAGTAATAGTTAGCGCGGCGACTGTGATCTTTTTGTCGAATGTAATGTGAATAATAAAGTGTAATGCTTTTACAGACAGGTACGAGCCCAGCTTGGAGCTCGCGTTGGAGGAGAGGGTGGAGGAGCTGCGGCATCGATTACGAATAGAAGCAGCTGTTGTGGAAGGTGCCAAGAACGTGATACGTCTTCTACAAAGTGCCAAAGTCGCTGATAAGAAGGCCTTAACCGAGGTAGGCGGTCATTCCTTTTCTAATTCGCTGTCCGTCAGCGTGCAAACGGAAGCCGGAGTCTGCGCGTGACACGCAATCTGCGAAAGGGTATTTGTATGGGTAGCATTAAAGGAAGTCATTTACGTCACTTCGCCAACAGAGCTGTTTCGAAATGATAATAACGTGGAAATTATCTTCATCTCTCTCGGTGAAAATATATACAATGCACGGACAATTTCCGTTTCTAGCGCGCAACAAGACGAGTTTTTTTCTCTCTCTTAAATCGGCAAACGCAATGAAAATATTTCATTGCTTTATTCGTCATATCAAAAGTAACTGTCTCTCTTTTTTTTTTTTTTTAAGCATTGATCGTGTTTTCTATAAAATTTTGAGGCTGTTACAAGTCAATTGATTAGGAAAACGTTGCCTGTAAATCGATCAATTTACAACAGTTTTCGAGAATTAGCGTAAGAGACAGATCTCGTGCGAGCGGTAATGTGATTTCAGCGAGGGCGTTTGCGCCCGCCGCGCCGCGCCGCCGGTACGAAAACGACTTCTTGTCGACAGCCGGATCGCGCGGGCGACGTCGGCGGCGTAATGCATGTCGACGTGGACCCCGGAGGGTCGGTGGCGGTGTATACGCGCCTCTCTCAAAATAGCTCACCGAATACCCCGCGCGCCACCCCGCCGTTTTCTCGTGACGCCTTTTCGGGTCGCGCTTAGTTACCATCTCCTGAGGAGAACTGGCATCACCCAGTATCGTAAGCACCGCGATAAACCGACGACATGTGCACCGGCCGACCGCGAAGGAGGCGCTCGTGGAATGTATACGTCCGTCAAGTGGACATCCAAGAAGATATCGATCACGCGTTCGGATAATCGTGGCTGTTAATTATGATCTGAACTCGAAGACTGACACGAAGCCGCCCAATGATCGTAGCCCGTTCGGATTCGCCCCGCCGACGCCTCTCCTACTCGAACGCTACCGCTCCAAAGAAGACTGACGTCTGCTTCAGAATCGATTTAAGCTGTCAGGATACTTGTATACTAACTGGACGCTCAAACGTCTCTGATCGAGTTATAAACAATCCGTTACTTAGCGGAAGTTTGAATCTTGTTTGATCCTTGGATGCTTGGATGTGTGTGAACGTATGCGAGTCACACAGAGATAATCGATCCGTTGCTTTTTATAACGTACGCGCTAAATAATTTCACGCTCACGTAAGATATCCGTGTTTCGAAGTTACTCTTCGACTGCCGGCGATTACCCGCGAGACTGAATAAGTCTACAGCTACAATTGAAATTTTTAAGCAACTCGATACACCGATTTTCGTATCGTAATACATCTCGCGTGCATTATTATTGCGCACAATTATTGCATCGGTGACCGTCGAGCGAGTATGAAAAACGCCACCCTATTCCAAATAATATTCTTAGTGCAACCGCATGTTGCTCCAAATTTATATTGTGCTAATTATATACATCGTCGCTCTATATTGCTCAGTTTGTTGCCTTACGAGCGATGAAAGTCGCGGTGGTTGCAACAATCGCAGAAATATTGTGTAATATGCAACGACGAACTGACAACATTATAAACAACCGTCTCAGGCATTCGTACGAAAAACATTTAATAAGTAGAGAGTAATTGAATGCGGAGCGACGATCACTGTGTGCCACGTCGAGGTTGAATCTTCTTCAGGTATTGGCACTAAAATTTTGCGACGTTAAGGCGGAAAGAAACGCACTCGGACTAGTTCTCGAACACACGGGACCCGAAAATAGATCAGTGGCGATGCAATACCGCAGTATTACCATCCTTCCGGGAAAAACTGCGCCACGGACGAGATCGTGAAGCACGAGCGGCTGCTCAACTCTTAAATAGACAGCATTATATAAGATTTCTTTTTAATACATTACGAAATTGGATGAGAAATCAGATGAATGGTCACAGGTGTTGCACGTAATCGCCGGCATTTTGCGTATACGTTCGAGTAGAGAGACTACAAATCCATGAACAGAAGAAGGGTACGGACGAGGGAACCGCATCATCGTCTGTTCGGTACGGAGAGGAGGGCAGATCGCTCGGACGTGTTCTCCTGGCAGCGGTGCCGATTGGATAACAATAATGTCGTGCGGTGGATGAAGGCACGGCGGAGGTTGAGGGGGAAGAGAGGCGCAAGATGTACGGACGTCAGGATAATTCGGGCGACGGTAGCTCGAGCCAGGTGCCGCCGTGGCTGGTGCGCGCCGAAGTCACGATCCGCCACGGCGACGCGGTGACCTCCGAGACCGTGCAAATGCCTCCGGGTACCACCACCACCACCGACGCGGGCGGCATCCGCATGATATGCCGCTGGAACACGGGCGAACCGAACTCCACGTCAACGCCGCCGTCAGCCGCCAACGCGTTCCGGTCGTCGGGTAGCACCGCCGGCGGCTTCGGCTTTCAACGGGGCAATATACTCTTCACGTCCACGCCGCCCGAGAGGCCGTCGGAGAGATCATTAAGCGGGTCATACACTCTGCCGCGCTCGGGCTCGTCCGGTAACGACGACTCCATCTCGTCCTGCAGAGGCCGAGCGAACGTCTCCGACTCCGGCTACAACAGCGAACAGTTCACGCCGCACACGTACTCGACCTTGCCCGCGCGATGCTCGCCTCAACAGTACAATCGCCGATGCAAGAGCACGTGCAGCATTGTACTTTCTACCGTGGGCGCGGACAAGGCTAATCCTGAGAAAGCTACGTCCGCCGAGTCCTCGAAAATCACGCCGTCCATCGATCAGTGGTACCGCCGATCCTCGCAGCAACAGGCCTTTTCGCGTCATCAATTCAGCGCGGTCCCGGAGGTCTGCGAGGACTGCGCAGAGGGAAGCGCATCGAGTGCCTTCACCACGCACTTTTGCACTCGCGTCGCGGAAAAGACTGCGAACAGCAGCAGGTCCACAGGTGCGGAGAGCAAGGACGCGGCGTCGCAAACCACCGACATCGAATCGGTGCGCTCGTCGTCGACTGTGAAGAGCAGCAGAACTAAGAGGAAATCTGGCACTGGTGCAGCTTATCAGCGTAGCGAGCAGAAAAAGGAGGTGAGTCATCGTTCTGCGATATATGCAGTAGACGCAACAGAGTTGTTCACTACGTGTCTCGAATGCCGACGATCGTCTTCTTTCAGCAGGAAATCCGATCGCCCCCGGCATCAGTTGGGAATACCAGTACCGGTCCTTCGGCCGATCCAGAGAAATCGGACTCGTCGGCGAAGGAGGATAGCAGCAGCAAGCGCAAGTCGCGGACGGTACATATCGATGTGTACTGCACGGGATCCGACGACGGCGCCAGCACGGACACGATCAGCGAGGACGAGCGCAGCACGCCGATGACCGTCTTCGAGAACGAGGACGTCAGAGTCACTCACACTCAAGCGATGGACAATTTGCCGCGGGGCTTCCAAGACGCGAACGCGTTTCTGAAGCGCAGCGCCGAGCGACGATGCGCGAGTTTCAGAAATGCGCCGATGAGGATGCCTTCGTTGGCCAGCTCGAAGGGATACGACAGCGACGAGGTTCTGAGCTCCCTCTACCCCTCGCGATTCAGCTCGTACAGCGGGATACGGGATCTCGATTCCGTCCCTTGGTCCGCGGTGTCGTCCAGCACGGCTCTGTCGCCGTGCGATTACGAATCGACGACCATGACGTCGTCGAAGGACACGTTTTCCGATATCGAGTCCCTGATCAACAGCAAATCCGGCTTAACGCCTTGCGACAGCTTCGAATACGCCAACACCGCGGATCGCGATAGAATACGGAGAATGGATGTCCTGGCGAAAGCCGGTAACGAGAGAATCAGAACCTGGCGGTCGCCGCAAATCGAACGGAAGCATCTGCTGCAGAATAGGAAGATGAGGGAGTACTTCGAGAAACATCAGATTAATTGGTCGTCCGGGGAGAGTGCCGAGGATTCCGACGAGAGCGGGGCAGTCGGTTGGAGCTTCGTGTCCGGCGATGATAAATCACGATTCAAAAGAGATTCGATCGTCCGTCGTACGAGCAAGGGTCAAACGGAGGAATCTAATGCGACTAATTTAGACTCGGGGCATGGAAAGGCGCAAGAGGAACGCTCCCAGTTCGCGACACGCCGAGATTACGTTCCGTACACGAATGTCTTACGCGATCGTATCGGTCCGTTCGGATCGAAGAGCCCCTCTCCCCTTCCCTCGATCATACCCTCCCGCGTAACGTCTCCCTTCACTACGCCGTACGGAGAGAGAACTGATCATATCGTAAAAGCGTCAAAATTTGGTGCGGTAATCAGCGCGTTTCGTAAACCCGGACATCATATAGGCCCCTCGAAAAATCCGACGTGTTCGTGCGAGCATTGCCGAAGTTACTTCGAGAACGAAGCGAGAGGACGATCCTCCTCGTTGAGCGAGCTCGAACGTCATCCGGCATTCAAATCGCGAAAAAAGAGTGACGTCGGATTTCATTAGCTTCTGGAGGATTTTAATCATATTGTTTCTTCAGTTTTTACGAGACGACAAATGCTTTCCACTTCGTTTATTTATGTTGTAAGATTTGTATATGCATAAAAAAGAAAACAAATTGCGTTCCATTACGTTCATGGCGATTGTGAGGATAGTATAAACTTGTATATTGTGATTTGTGTGCTTAATTTATATTTCTTAAAGTATTCCATACATATTCTATACATAGCTTTTTTATCGAAATTAATTATACGATGGCTGCTAAAAAAAAAACACATTCTGCTGAAAATTGAGCATTTATAAAAATTAACAAAGATGTATTATATTGATTGCATCGTTAATAAATACCATGTCGGACATTGTTTGTGTGTTTACTTTTGTATATTAATCCTCTATATATGTTAAACTAATATTACATAAAATACGTTAATGGTACGTTATTACATAAATCATAAATTACACAGGCTCAAGCAAGTCTCGCGGAATCCAGTAGGAAATTGGATTTACTCAGAATGTCCCTCGAGCTCAGAAGGCAAGAGCTACCTGCCGACAGCGGTACTGCGGCTCAGTTAAAGAGAGAATTAGCTAGCGTGCAGTCGGCTAGTCCAGTTCCTGTTACTTATACATCATTACAACCGTTTCGCGGTCCTTTGGAGGGTAAAGCCACTGTACCGGCGTCAGTATCGAGATGCGCCGCTGTCACAGGACAATTAGAGGTATGTCGGAGAATACACGCAATTAACTGTTTGACGGTTAGAAATTATTTTCCTTTTATATTACACGCCGTAATGTGTTTAGGTAAGATTAATGGGATGTCAAGACTTAGCAGAAGAAGTGCCTGGACGTACGAGGAGAGAACATCCTGCTAGTCCTGATTTACGTAGCTTTGTTAAAGGTGTCACAGGACGCAGCTCAAGCAAGTCATATAGCGTGAAAGACGAAACAAGCAGTAAGTTTTTGAATATTTTGAGAATGACATCGATGTCTCTGAATTCTTTATTAATTATTCATTGTTTTCAGATGATATTATGGCAGTTATAAAATTGGATAACCAAACCGTAGGACAAACTAGTTGGCGGCCATGTTCCCAACAAGCTTGGGATCAAAGGTAATGCCAATACTAATTAATTAATTAATACTTCTAATTAATAATTCATGTATCGTTATTATATTGCCATGTGTCCAATACAAATTTTTAGGTTTTCTATTGAGCTTGACAAATCGAGAGAGCTTGAAATAGGCATTTATTGGAAAGATTGGAGATCTCTTTGTGCGGTCAAGTTTTTACGTTTAGAAGAATTCATTGATGACGTTCGACACGGTATGGCTCTACAACTGGAACCCCAAGGCCTCCTGTTCGCAGAAATAAAATTCTTAAATCCGATGATATCGCGAAAGCCTAAATTGCAGCGTCAACGCAAGATCTTTAAGCAGCAAGTGAAAAATTTCCCAAGAGCAAATCAAATGAACATAAATGTTGCGACTTGGGGTAGGTTGCTTAAACGTTCGGCGCCCTCATTGCACAATTCCAGAAACTCTGAAAGTCCACCGTCAGGTAAAGATTCAAACTCGTCTACGTAAAATGCACAGTCTCAAAAGTGTCAAGATATCTAACGTATCTTGATTTCAGGACCGCAACCGTTGCAGCTTGTGTTTGATACCTCAGTAGAAGATAAGCCTGAAACTCCCGGCGAAGTGCCCGATCCGGAGAAAGGCGGATTGGGTGGCGCACGGCCTTTAGGTATGACGACATCGAATAGTAGTCCAACTCTGCCACGTCCTCCGGAGCATCCTCCCCCACCGCCACCAACTGTGACAAAAAAGCCTTCTACGCCTGCACCTACACCACCTCCCAAATTGGATCAAGAGGTAAGTCTTTTCGTATATGTTTTTTTTATACATCATTATTTTCTTAACGAAGAAAAGCTCATGCATTGATACGTGATATAATAGTATTTATTATAAATGCTCTTTATTGCATTATCTGTCGATCTTTGCTTTTGATGTAAAGATATGAAAGAATGCTAATGTTGCAAATTGTTACGTAATTGTCATAAATTAATAATGTTAAATATTATATGGTATGATATATGTAGTTTTCATTATCTTACGAATACATATAATTTATTATACTCATTGTATTTCTATATTATTTCTACTTTTAATCTTTTCTACTTTACAAGATGATTGTAGCAATATTAGAATCTTAAGGCTGGGAATCTTGGTTATGGGACAAAATAGTTTATAAAAATAAATGTATGATATGATAAATAGATACACTTTCTAAAGTTACAATTCTAATGAATGTATATATATCTTGGTGCGGCATGTTATCATATATATATATATATATATATACTTACTTTTACAATTATAAAAAAATGTAGTATTAGTTTAATGCACTTGCTTTAAAAGATTATCTAGTATATAATATGTAGTTATTACACACAATTTCTTTATTAAGTGAAAATGTAGGTTTCTTGTTTTTTGGCATTTATCTACATTATATTAAATATTTTACAATGAATATAATTTTATTTCCTTGCATAGTCGATTCAAGCAATATATATATATATATATATATATATATTCTATTTTTATTACAAACTCCCTATTATAATGATAAATCATACAAGTCACTGTAGAACAAATACTTATAATATATTTCAAAATCAAAATTATATATTAGTTATATAGCTATGCATGTGTTTAATTTAAACAATTTCGATACGCAATCTAAAATTTACTGCAATTTCAATCAAGCATTAGAGCTAAAGAGGTAGCAATGTAGTTACAGAGCGCATTAAGGGAGTTTGATTTTCTGCACAACGAGGAAAAGGGCGGGCCTCAGGGTGCAAATTTGAGGCCCCTTGTGACAGAGCCCCGCCCTGTGCTGATTGCACCACCCTCTCCACGCACACCCTCGCCCCAACCTGTCGTCGAGTTTCCTGAGGATGAGGTACATGCCCTCCAACATACACACAACATTGCTTTGCTTGCTTTGGTGTGTTGCATGTAAATACTAAAGAAAGAAATTCTTTGTAATGCTTTTATCTTATATAATGTATGAACTATTCTATTTTTATCTTATCATCTTATACATTTTATATTAATCTTTACTCTCTCTCTTTCTCTAAATCTTTCGTCTGTGCATTGCACGTATTTTTAATTATAATATACGCTACATATAGACATAAAATCACACAATTAATAACCACATGAAAATTTTAATAATTAAAATATTGCAGCCTAACCTACCATTGTTTAATATCTAGGAGACATCTAAAATATCTTACTATTTTTTATGATATACTAACATGTAATTCTTTCACGTTTCTAATATGCAGCAATTACTTTTAATTTATCTAACTTTAATAATAATGCATTAAAATATGCATTTATATAACTAGTTGTTTCAACTAAAACTTTGTCTTTCAGGTTTATGAAATGCCAGCTAGACCTCTTCAATATAGAGATAGTGCTTACGAGTCGAGAAGGCATTCTCAGCTTACTGGTATGACTCTGGAGAACTTTAGACTGCTCTCCGTACTCGGTCGTGGACATTTCGGCAAAGTAATATTGTCGCAATATAGAAACACGGGAGAGTACTTCGCGATTAAGGCTTTGAAGAAGGGGGATATTATTGCTAGAGATGAAGTGGAGTCATTGCTTTCTGAAAAGAGAATATTCGAAGTAGCGAACACGACACGCCATCCTTTCCTCGTTAATTTATTTGCGTGCTTTCAAACTGAGGTATCGATAGTTTTTCTCTCTAGTATTTTTAGTACATTCTTGTGAGATAGAAGAGAATAAGAAAGATGAATTTTTTTTTAGGCACACGTATGTTTTGTAATGGAATATGCAGCTGGCGGAGATCTTATGATGCATATACATGCTGATGTTTTTGGGGAGCCACGCGCTGTTTTTTATTCCGCTTGTGTAGTTCTCGGATTACAATATTTACACGAAAATCGCATTATTTACAGGTATATAACGTGCACTCCAAGTAATCTAGTAATATATTTGTATATTTAATATATTTTATATGGTTTATTTTTACAGAGATTTGAAGTTAGATAATTTACTATTAGATACGGAAGGTTACGTTAAAATCGCAGATTTTGGTTTATGTAAGGAAGGTATGGGATTTGGTGACAGAACAGGTACTTTCTGTGGTACTCCTGAATTCTTAGCGCCCGAAGTGCTGACGGAAACTTCTTATACACGAGCTGTAGATTGGTGGGGTCTTGGAGTCTTAATATTTGAAATGTTGGTTGGAGAGGTAATTTTATTGTTTTGAAACATTATATATTTATTTTGAAAACATTTATTGTTTTGTATATATTAAGTAAAAATATAATGCGTGTTTCAGTCCCCTTTCCCAGGTGATGACGAAGAAGAAGTATTTGATTCCATTGTAAATGACGAAGTACGATATCCAAGATTCCTTTCTTTGGAGGCAATTGCAATCATGAGAAGAGTAAGTTATTTTTGTTTTATTACTTTTCTGTTTCTCCAATCATCTCACATAAAACTTATTCGTATGTATTTTCTGTAACAGTTACTGAGAAAGAATCCAGAGAGGAGATTAGGTAGCAGTGAAAGAGACGCTGAAGATGTTAAGAAACAAGCATTTTTCAGACATATAGCTTGGGATGATTTACTTCTAAGACGCGTGAAACCACCTTTTGTACCAGTAATCGTAAGTATCAATTTAATATTTATTGTTGCATGTGTAAATTATGTAAGAGAGAAAAAGAGATTATATCTGTTAATACGAATAAATTTTAAATATCAATCGGAGATCAGAATTAGATTAGATCTTTTTTAAATGTAATATTTTCTTACATGGAAATATTTTTCTGTTCTTATTAGCATTCAGTGGAGGATGTAAGTAATTTCGATGAAGAGTTTACATCAGAGAAGCCACAATTAACGCCTCCAAAAGATCCTCGACCTCTTAGCGACCTAGAGCAAAGCCTGTTTAAGGACTTTACTTACATGGCTGATTGGTGCTAGCCGTAATGATTGATATCTCTCGACAGGGAAATATCAGCATAATTGAGAAAAAAGTTGCTTCATATGGAACTCGCGGAATTGGTGGTATTTAGATGCGCGTTTGTTTTCTGAGCAATATATATCATATGTCATTAATGTATAGATTTTTTATTTTGGATACTATATTAATGATCATAATAGGCACATTTACAAGAGAAATTTTTCAACCAAAGTTGTGGGATGTACATGAATGCAGCTCCACAGATCGAGATCTATTCGTTAGTGAGACTAATATTTCATCTAACTTTTCGAGTATAACCAGATGAGCTGGAATTGTAGGTGATCGTTGGATAGTCGTTCGTATAATTAATTCTCAGATATCTTAAAGTCAATCGAAGATATTTTGAATTTCTTAGGTTTGAACTAAGATAACCGATATAACAAAAAAATTATCTCTATTGTTTGGGTATTCTGGAAAAACATCTGTGAGATTATGCCATTTTTGAATGCTAATTTCTTCAATTTGTTACGACGACTGCCAAGACGCCGAAAACTTGAAAGATTTCTGATATCCCGTTCTCAACTTGTAATGCGGACGGATATAATCCTGGTGCTCGATTGCTCACTGTCTGGCGAATGATTTCGCTGAAAATCCCGAGACAAGGTATCTCTTCGTATAGATTGTCTCTATAGTGATACGACGAAGTGACCATTCGCCATGTCCATCAAAAACTGGTTTGGGAGAGTTGGAAAAAATTGGAAACAGATGCTCTCTTGTCATGAACTGGGTTATTCCCAGCATTCAGCTTTCAGCCGCATGTGCAGAGATATGGGAATAGTGAAAAAATTTTTCAGCAATAGGAGAAAGTTTCTCTCTTTTTTTATTATTGATTGAATTTTGAAGCATGGCAGTGAAACGAAAATTATAAAACTGAGGAGACGCTTTTTGTAGCGCGATAATATTAGCTAAAAGTTCACTAAATGTGAGTTCACTCACTACCTTTCTGATGGTATAAATTGCATGTATAGATTGACCTCTTGCATAGACATTCCAATCACAAATCCAGAATCCGCTGTTCTAGGGAAGAATCGTCTTGTTTAATGCAGCTTAGTCGGTTTGTTTATTGCCTTAGAAATCTGCTTTTTCTGGGATTGGCCTTTCGATTTAATAATTCTTCAGGCGCTACAACTGCGCCCTTTCTAACTTTCTGGTTTCACAAAGTCCGCTTTATCTTGTTTATCATATGCGCGAACTTTGCTCTAGAAACTTCTTTTATCGAATCTCAGGTTTTCCGCTAATTTATGTTTTTAGTGAATAGCTGATATATATAAATTTATCTCTAATTTAATAGAAAGCAATATTACGAATTCATGAGCGACATTCTTGAAAATTAAAGGATTGCAATTTCTATCAAGCAAAGGAAAAATGATGAAGCCTATTTGTAGTTATTAATCATCTGACAAAGACGTTTTTTCGCATATAAATGAGAATAATTTTAGATTACAGAAGTGATCTCCGAACACTGTCCTGTTGCTAGTATTAAATATGTATGGATGTCCTTTTGCGTGAAGATATATTATTTTCATCGTTTCGTTATCAAATGCTATCTACTGCTATTATGTACAGTTATACACGCAGTTACTCAAAGATTTTGTATATCCTTATGGAACTTAAAGGATAATCATAATAATAAAAAACAATATTAACATTCATTAAGAAAGCATAAAGTAAATCAAAATGTAGCTATACTTGCTCATGCTCATGTGATAAAGAATTGAAATTGAAATGGCGCTATGTATGTGCAACAATAATGATCATATTGACATTAACAGCGCTTCAATTAAACTAATCATATATTGTCTGTTACGAAAATTGGAAATTTAATCCATTTATGTATAGCTAATTTTGCAAGATTATGACGTTAGATATACGAGCTTTATGACTTTATGTGAAGCAGCACATTAATATTATACACCAGAGTCCTTTAGGTTCGTTTAACATGTATCCCAATTACGTTTGCTATACTTCATCATTTAGTTATGTACATTTATATTCTAGTTTATAAGATATTTTTACTAGTTCATGTGCTTCATATCATTGTATATATAAAATATATAACCAAATGTGTCGAAAGAATAATAATGAATGATATTTCTATGTTTAATAGCTGTCGGTATAATATTGTACGATCAATTTTAATTAACTTCACAACAAATTATTATTGTAAGACGTGTTCACGTCTTTTATTATGAACATACTTGAACACCTTTTAAGATTCGGTTTTAATCTTGCTGAGAATGATTTGAAAGCTGTGTAATATTGGAGTAGCTGTTAGATTTTACTTATAAAAATCAATATTTTTCTAATTATTACGGAGCTCTTCTTTCTTTACGAATGCTATTGCCTACATTTATTGTAATCTTAGTATTTAATAATTAATCCTTTATAGGATTTCGATTGTTATTAGAACTTCCACACATATGTATACAATCTAAATGTAACCCATCTCACCCATCATTTCACCCATCTTTTAAAAGGTGCCTACAATAATCGAACAACTTTTGATATATAATATGGAATAGAACTAGAAAATTTTCTGTGGCTATTAGTAAGAAACGAAGTAATCCAATATTGTATATAATCTTTTCGACCTGTCATTTATCTCTATATGTATGTATCGTAGAATTGAAATTGAAGATTGAGAAGAATTATGGACTTTGTAACGATGCGAAATGAAGAAAGATATTTCAAATAGAACTTGGTAAATGTTGTGTATAATCTGATTATGATGTCGTTTGTTTTATTTTATGTAAATTGGTTAAATTTGTCATACTACGAGTACTACGAAACAATTAAAATATAATTAAATCGAATTTTATTAATTGTAAATATTGATTGCTGAGATCTTACCATGTCAATGAGATCTACCAGGTTTTATTTGCAATACTGCTCTTTTAATATTAACAAGGCGACCAGAATTGTAAAACTTTTTAATATTGAAACATTATCATGAAAAGTTAACTGTGTCATTAGTGATAGATTCGAGTATCTCGAGACCTAGTTGCCTTACTGCAATTATAAATTGATATACATATATCCATTTTGGTATCTATTTTATATATAATTCTTATACACGCAGAATATGATTCAGATCTGTAGGAAATATTTTAGGTGCTCCTAAAATATCTTCAGATCTCGAACATAATATACAACAGTGGAAGATAATTTGAAAGATATGAATAATTTTCAATGTGCCTGTTTTCTATGACTGTATATAAATTTTTAAATCTGATGTTTTTACATGATATTATACGGCTCTGGAATAAAAAATACAAAATCCATAAAAATTTACGTGACGACGCATTAGTAGTAAAACAGGCAGAGAAAAATATGATATCGATGTAATTTGTAAAGCAATATGGCAATTTGAAATGGATCTTGTGCGGCGGAGTGGGAGACCTTTTGAGTTTTTCGTTAATTTAACATTAAAATTATTTACATTTCGCAAAATATAACATTTATTCTAGATTCTAGATGTGATGTGTATGTTACTTGTATATTTTACATAGCGGAAAAAAGCTATGAATGCAATATCATTCTTTTTACGCTACTTTCAACTGCCGAAGTCTGCAATCTTTGAAAACTTTATAATGAATTTTGAATGATAAAAATACGTTTTCGTCAAAATAATACCGTTTTGTATTTTACGTTTTACACTGTACGTATAACTTGATATACATTATAAGATGGCATCGTGTGTGTGAACAAATTACTTTTTCCACTGATATTACACGCAGCTCTTTGCAAAAAGAATTAAATTATTTAATAATTCTGTGGAACATATATATATGGCCTAAAATACGATAATTTAAAAATTGTATGTACATATATACAAACATCCTATGGTGTTTTGTAGATAGACCTACTCTTGATTTATAAAGATTTTTTATTAGATTACTCTTTCGTTACACGTATTTTTTATATATATAACATAATTACATAGCAATTACTAGGTATAAGTTTGGTTAAAATGTTCGCTATATTTATCGTTAGTTTTATAATAAGGAAATTTATGTGCCTCGTATTTTGTAGTGTCTACTAATAATACATGGCTAGAGAGATGAAAATCTTTAAAAATTAATTTATTTAATTCATATATATATATTTGCAGTGGCAGCTTATTACATATCACTTTAAACAATTACGTAATCCTTAGAGGTATTCTCAAAATCCGCATTTTATGTGAATTATTTAAAAAAATAAATATTAAAAATATACCTCTCTCTTTCTCTCTACTTTCAAATGCACCTCGAATCAACACGTGTTATTTACTTATGGCAACGAAAATTATTTTATTATATTTAACAACAAAAATTACAATATATTGGGGGGGAGGTTTATTTCCAACGCGACATTACTTTTACATGTTTAACCGTTATATGTTTTGATACATAAGCTGTAAGGTGTGTAACAAAAAAAGATAAATACCAATATATAGACAGCAGACATATATTAGATCAAAATTATATATTAAGTAGAAGAAAAGTATCATAATATCTCCAAACTGGAATCAAGATTCGAAGGTTCTTGGCTAGTTTCGTGAGTAGGACCTAAAGTCTTCGCTAATTCATATAAGTTTGGTGTATTCCTCCGGATTTCACTTTCCAAGTTCAGAATCTTTTCCGCTTTTTCCTTTCGTTGTTTACTCGCTTCTGGTGCCGCTGGTTTCGAGAGGCCAGCGGTTACTGTATAAAAGACACTGCTGCTATCTTCAGATTTAAATACGAATGTCAATCTGAAAAAATATAAAATTCATTTAAAAATACATATGTATATTCAAACAGATCAATAGAATTATGTTGCGGAGATATCAAAGAGATACGCGAGAATTAAGGGAATTGAAATAAAATCGTAGAATTACCGTTTATTTTGCAATAACTGTTGCATCTTCTCAATCTTGTCCAAGCAGAGGCTATACTTGGTTGGCCAAGGCACGTAGATCTCCAACCGAGAATTCTCCTTTTTCTTCACCTCAAAATAGATCACGTCGAGCTCCTCATTGTACTTGTAGTCGACGTCCCAGTATCGCTTCACTGGAAAATCATCACGGGAATAGATTCGCGCGTTCAACGCCCACTTAAACTGGATACAATACCTTCGCATATCTCAATGTAGACATAAAAGGCGGTGCTCGTTTTTATCGGGTCATTACAGCCGAGTTTGCACAGATGATAATACTGTAAGCGTACATTGAGAACGATTGCAAAATAATCTCACGTACTAAATATTTATACATATACATATAGGCATGCACATTCTCAGAGACTAAGCTCGCGCTCGCGTCTTCTTGGTTAGCTAAAGAGGGGTTACTCACGCTGGGATGGCATATGTCGTACATCTTTCTCGTGCACACACAAAATGCAGGAGTGGAATGCCCCGTTTTTTTTTTTTTAGCGAAAAATTACTTGTCGTCAATTGCCATCGCAACTGGAGCGAGAAACATCAGTGAGAACCGACACATGTGTCCATTGACAGCTCCAAGAAGTCGCCCCGCGACCAGAGAGGATCCTGAGAGCGGCCATGCCCGCGATTTAGCTGGGACAGGCGATTGAGCTGGTTTCAGCGCCTCTATGTCCACAAAACGTGGACATTGAACTACGTAGCCAATGTCCACGATTTTGTCGGTTATGTCCACGATCTTTTGGTGGTGATCCGTGCTATGTCCACGGTTGTGTTCCGTGCTATGTGCAGGAATGCGAGTAGGTTAGTTAGAAAAGGACGGACATCAATCTCGGTCGTCCTTGTCTCACCACCAGCTAACAAACACGGAGCTCGAGCGGCGAGTTTGTTTGTCTCACGGACACAGTCCCCTCTCTCCCGTCCCGTTTTTTGT